TACTTAAGGGCTTTTACTCACGCCAAACCAACCAATTGGACGTCATACTTGGGATGGGCAGAATTTTGCACCAATACAAGCTACCACAACAACATTAAAATGACTCCATTTCAAGCACTATATGGAAGACCACCACCCACCTTATCACCGTGTACAAAAGACACAACAACAGTGCAAGCACTAAATGAATTATTATTGGATCGTGATAGATTGATAAGGCAACTAAAACTCAATCTTCGGGAAGCTCAGCATCGCATGGCCCAAAAAGCCAATGCCAAAAGAAGCGAAGTAAAATCTTCGATAGGATATAAGGTTTGGCTTTGTCTACAACCATATAGACAGATATCAGTAGCACTTAGAAGCTATAACAAACTAGCACAACGCTATTATGGTCCATTTAATATCTTGAAAAAAATAGGAGAAGTCGCATACCACCTCGAGCTACCACCACAAGCAAGAATTCATTCAGTATTCCATGTCTCACAACTCAAGAAACACATGGGAACTGAAGAAAACATAGAGGTCCAATTACTGGAAGAAATTGTGGGCCAATCACCAATTGCAATTAGGTTATCGAACTCAAAAAATTACAATTGGATCCCTAACAACACAAAATGATTCAATTGAACAAAAAATGACATGTTTACCTGTTAATTGTTGACGTGGTAATTACCATTTTAAAAGATAAATTGTTATTTCTATTTATATATTTTAAGTAAAAAAAAAAAAGATTTGTCGTTTCGTTTCCAGGCTGCCGAAGACGAAGAATCAATCTTCGTCTCCGGCAGTCTAGAGACATAGCGGCAAATCTTGTTGTTGTTTTTTTCTTTTTAAATATAGTAACCGTCATGTCAGCCACTAATATGTAAACATGTCACTTTTGGTTCAATTACATCATTTTGTGTTGTTCAGGAGCTCGATTGTAGTTTTTCGGAGTTTGATGACCTAATTGTATTTTTGTGTATAGTTCGGTGGTCTATTTGACCATTATTCCAAAAAAAATATATAGTTCAAATTTTTAATTAAAATATTAGTTTGGTGGCTATATATATAATGTTCTTTTAGAAGTTTAATATAGAACTTTAGGTTATATGAAATAATTTTTTTTTGATCAATTACATTATAATAAATTGATTTAATTTTACAGTTAGTTTGATTTTTAAATAATTTGTATGTCAAAACAAGTCAGGTTTCATGTTAGGATGATTTTTTGTTAAGTTAATAAATGAATTTTATATACTAATATTAAATTAAATATTATGAAAATTTTAAATTATAAATAATTTGAGCCAAACATTTTTAATTGAAACAAACACATCAAATGGGACGTAGAAATTAAAGTATTATAATTTGATATAATCATTGTGATTAAATTATTAAATTCGCAAATTATAAAAGTTTGAATAAAATTATTATGCATAATAAAATATAATTGTGACAAGATATAAATCAAATTTTGAAAGTTTAAAAATAATTGTTGCTATAAATGATTGAATTTTTTACCAATGAACCTTGATAAAATAATTTTTTTTTTTTTTTATATTAATCAATAGTTAATCACTGTATCGAGAACGAATATATTTTGACACTGCACTGTGTAGTGCAACCATTGATTTTATTACTTTAATTTTCTTTTTTTCTTTCTAATGTTTATATTCCAGTAATATTTACACTTGTGGATCTCAACTTTAATTTTATTTTTTCATTTTCAATGCACAATTTAAAAAAATATTCACTTTCGATATTTAACTTTATAAAATATTTATTTTTTAAAAACACTAAAAATTCAAAAAGCTGCTCAAAGCAGTTTTTCGATCAGCTTTTAAAAAAAGTCATTTTGTATGTATTAGTTATCAGCTAACAACTAATTTACCAAACACTCTTTCTACAATCAGCTAATGCTATCAACTAGTCAAACCCACTAATCCAATGAGCTAACAACTATTTACCAAACACCTCGTTTTCACATTTAATGACATTCCGGGCATTGTAAATTAACATAGAAAATAAATTCAAAATGAATATTGATGTGGTAAATTGTTGGGATTAATTACTACGAATACGTATAATAAGTATGAGATCGGACCAGGTTGCGGTCCTTATGAGACCTACTTGTTGGTTTAATAGGTGGAGCTCGATTGAGATTAGGCGTGAGGCCAGACTCAGAGACTCTCGAGTTGAGTAATGCTCTAGCGTTGTGCTCCAAAAAGGGTCCCTCTTAACGTTGCTTCGTGGGGTATTTATAGAGATTTTTAGGGACACATGCCAAGGGACCAGCGTGGTCGCCACTGTCTCTCATGCACTAGGGACCGAGTCGGCGAAGGAGGAAAGAACATGTGTAATGATGTATGTGGTGTTAGTTGCTAGCCGGGCTTAACTCGGGCCTCTAAGGTCGGGCTTCGAGCATGCAGATTGAATTCGACTCCGCAAGGTGCGGACGATCAGCCCATTGAGCTACGAAGTTGATAGTACCTCTAGGTCCGGGTCGGTATAACGATGTTCATGATCGATTCAGGTCGGGAACTAACCCAAATCTAAAGGAAACTCGTATCTGATCAAATCTAGTATGAGGACTCTAGGAATCCGGGACATATTCCTTATCAAATATTATACAAGACAGTTAATGGACTAAAGTGAAATAAACTCAACATCCCTTTTCACAAATGAATAAAATTAAACTTATTTTCCTTTTTGTTTTTTTACTTTTTTAATTTTCTCCTAAAATAACATACTTTGATTGCTTAAAAAATCACAATTTTTTCATTTCCTTTTAATATTTTAATAAAATCAAGACACGTCACTAGAAATTTTATCATTATAATTTTCCTTGCTTCAATATGTTTTACTGGCTTTTCCCTGTTGCGGTCAAAACCCCATGTCAGGTGTACAGAATCACCAAAAATAGACAAAATTGAACCAAAAGAAAGAGTTGAAAAGAAATGCACTGGCTGGATTTTGTTGTATACGATTTAATGTCACACGGTTCTTCCGCGTATGATTTTGTCACATTTAATCTTAAATTATTAAATTAATCACTCTATGATCTTTTGATTTTTAAATTGGTACTATTCGTGAATCAAGTTAATCAGACATGCTCCTTCAACTTTTAAAATTTAATTAATAATAGTCCTCTTGAAAAGATAATTGCTGGTTAAAATTTGATAGTTGAAGGCTCATGGGTAGTTAACTCGGATAAAGAATGATAAAATATAAAAGTCAAAGGACTAAAATAGTCAATTTGAAATTTTATGACTAAACGTAACAAAATCAGTATACTCAAAAGATCCTAATTAGTAAGAATATATTTGGTGTACTCGATTTTATTTTATACTTCCAATTTTTATTTCATCTCACAAATTTTTGATTAAAACACTTTTCTATGAACCACTTGATAAAAATAATCAATTCTGATTTATTAAATCATAGATTAGAATTAAGAAAGTATATAGAGTAGAACGTATTAACTCATTTGTATAAAATATTGGGACTTCTCAAACCAGACTTTGGGAAACGACAAAGAGTCTGGTGCTTGCTAAGCTTTTCTTTCTGAGACCTGATGATTATTGATTATGGGCCTTAATTGGCTGTCAACCACTTACATTATATCACTGGTGTTGAGAAAAATCTCACTTGCTATGACAATAAAAATCACAGACTCTGACACGGTCTATAAATACAAGATAACACAATAGCCCAAAATAAATAATAACGGGGGGACACAAGATTTACGTGGAAAACTTCAAAATTACGGAAAAAAATCACGGACCACCACCAACAATTAACACTTTCACTATAACAAATCTTGGGTACAAAGTTTCTGGTTACCACCTGAGTCAAACAACCAAAAATCATCAAATACAACAATTCTAGGCCAGAGGCTTTTATAATGTTTCACAGGTATAATATCTCGTACTCAAAATATTCAACCACCACGAACAAGGTGAAAAGAATAAAAATATTATGAGATTACCCAAAACGATGCCTGGAACAAACAAGCTGACATCTTCAAATATTTGATGAAGAAAACACCCAAGAGCTTCGACAAACCTCATGACAAATCCATCAAATGTGTGACAAAACTCGCCGAACATGCTGCCGTCGTGCCGCTAAAAGTAGTAGAAAATGTCCTCACAAGACCGGCCAAGGAGACAAAAAAAAGCAAAAGAAAAACTTGGCTTTGTTTCACTGCTCTCTACTGTCTTGCACTAGTACCAAGTCAATATCATGTGTGTGTAGTAATGTTGGAGAAGAATGTTTTGCTTATTTTATACTACCAAAATGAGAATGTGAAGGGATAAAGAAAATAAATTCTTTTAACCTTTCACATGCATGGTTTAAAGAGCAAAATAACTCTTCCAATCACTCCAACTTCTTATATTCCCTAAAATATTATTATTATATATAATATAATAATAATTAGGGCTCAACAAAAAATAAAGTGGATACAAAAAAGGTTTGGTCCAACATGAGCTATTTTCCACATAGGAGGGAAGCCCAACCCAACAAACTCCCCCTCCCGACTATGTGGAAGATATTGCTTTTTCGGCGATAGAGAAACAAACCATTGCTCCCCTGCATAGGTAATCCGATAGGCTGAAGTTGATTTCCTCGTATCAATGTTTCCTTCCATATCTGAATCAGTGTACCCGGCAACAATATGTTTCCTGTACCAAAAACAAACTCAGACTTGAAGTACCTTGAAGATATCTCAGAACCCACTTCACAGCATCCCAATGTTCTCTCCCTGAATTTGAGAGAAATCTGCAAACAACACCTACTGCATGAGCAATATCCGGTCTCGTACATACCATGTCAAATATGCCCAATCAACAACCAGGGCTCTGATACCACTTTGTTGGGAAGAATCCCACTTGCTGTGACAATGAAAATCACAGACCCCGACACGGTCCATAAATACGAGATAACACAATAGCCCAAAATAAATAACAACGGAATGGACACAAGATTTACGTGGAAAATCCCAAAACCACGGACCACCACCAACAACTAACAACTCCACTATAACAAATCTTGGGTGCAAAGTTTCTGGCTACCACTCGATCCAAACATCCAAAAATCATCAAATACAACAATTCTAGGCTAGAGACTTCTATAATGTTTCACAAGCTAAATAGGAATAATATCTCGTACTCAAAATATTCAACCACCACGAGCAAGGTGAAAAGAATAAAATTATTATGAGATTACCCAAAACGATGCCTGGAACAAACAAGCTGACCTCTTCAAATATTTGATGAAGAAAACACCCAAGAGCTTCGGCAAACCTCACGACAAATCCATCAAACGTGTGACAAAACCCGCCGAACACGCTGCCGTCATGCTGTTAAAAGTAGTGGAGAATGTCCTCACAAGACCGGCCAAGGAGACAAAAAGAAGCAAAAGAAACTGGGCTTTGTTTCACTGCTCTCTACTGTCTTGCACTACTGCCGAATAAATATCATGTGTGTATAGTAATGTTGGAGAAGAATGTTTTACTTATTTTATACTACCAAAATGGGAATGTGAAGGGATAAAGAAAATAAATTCTTTTAACCTTTCACATGCATGCTTTAAAGAGCAAAATAACTCTTCCATCACTCCAACTTCTTATATTCCCTAAAATATTATTATTATATATAATATAATAATAATTAGGGCCCAACAAAAATAAAGTGGATACAAAAAAGGTTTGGTCCAAACATGAGCTATTTTCCACATAGGAGGGAAGCGCAACCCAACAACCGGCCTCCTACTCCGTTACTACATTATATCACCGGCCTCCTACTCCGTTACACTATGTACATATAAGGGGCAAATGATGTTGTGGTTCCAAAACTATTCATAATTATAAATATATTGTTTAAAAATTATAGACATATAGTTTTATAATTATGAACATAGAGTTGTGAACATAATTATGAACATACGATTCTGTAATTATAAATATAGAGATTCAATAATTGTGAATATGAAGTTAAAAAAATTATGAATATATAGCTTTATAATTATGAACATATAGGTCAGTAATTAATAATTATGAACATAGAGTTCTGTAATTGTGAATATAGAGTTCAATAATTATGAATATGAAGTTCAAAATTTATGAATATATAACTTTATAATTATGAACATATAGTTCAGTAATTATGAACATAGAACCGTGTCCACCTTGCAAGGTGGACACGGTTCCACAGCATAACGATTGACATATATGGTGTTGCCATTTGCACCACCCCTAGTGAAGAGTGTAAACAATTTTGAAATTGTAAAAATGTGAAAATTTCAACAGGTACATATATGGTGTAAATAGAAAAAAAATGAACTGATACTACAATGTAATAGAGTTAGTAGTACTAAAAAAATGACTTTTTACACCAACCTGGTCAAATGTAATTTACGAGATTCTATAATAATTTTAAAAGATTAAAATGTACCATTAATAATTTTTAATTTAATTTTATTACTATGTTATTTTTTTTTAGCTAAATGTAATAGTTCACTAATTATTATGATATATTTCAGTACAATTCAATCAAATTCTACTTGGGTATTGAATAATCGTTCCAATTTTGATGTGAGTCAATATAATTTGTTGCTGATTAAATTTGTTGGTCAACAATAATATTTATAATTCCAATACGAGTCCATCTAATTTTTTGTGTGATTAAATTTTTTAGTCAATTTTAATATTTGTGGGATAAAACTATTAGTAATTTGGGCCGCAGAGAAGGCTAACTGGACTCATATGACTCTATATATATTTTTACATTTTATTGGGCGGCAGAGAAAACTATTGGTATATATTTCTTTTTATATTTTATTATGATGTTAATGCGTTTTTAGTTTTTACAGTTTTTAACTATTTAAAATTAATTTATTATATTCTTTTTTATATAAAAAGGTAAAGTAATGTATACAACAAAATTTGAGTTATAAAGAATATTAGAATAACAAAAAAGTAAAATTAATTTTAGTATTAAAATTTATTAAACGTTAGATACTACACAAAATAATTAAACAATATTATAACATGAAGCAAGTAATTAAAATTAAACACATTTCATAAAATTAATTAAATTAATCAAAAAAATAATTTAACAAAAAGTAATGTATTCACCTAGATTCTAATGTTTGACTAACTTTAATAAAGGTGGTGCAAATAACAAGTTGCACTACAAGAAAAATGCACATAGACAATGATGTTTCAATGACAAAGAGGACTAAGTTTTTTTTTTTTTTTTCCCTTATTCGGCGCCGCTAAAGAATTTTATAAATTCTGAATGGAATTAGGAATATAAATATATACGTAATAATAGAGAAGAGATTAGGAATATATATTTACATATAAGGACAGAAGGGTTTAGTAATTAACAACACATATATATACATACATATCTACCTAAATTAACTATTACATATATCTAATTACATATATAAATACGTATTTGGGCCAAAATATATATTAGTTTAAGAAATTAGTTAGTGTACTAAGTTTAGAAATATAGGAGAGCCATGATATAATATTATTAGACTAGTCTCAAATAATTTTGGGTTAAATAATAATAATAATAATAATAATAATAATAATAATAATAATAATAATAATAATAATAATAATAATAATTGATAAAGTATATACGGATGCCTCAACGGTTCCGTATGTGTCTAGGGATTGAGCTCGGAGTTGGTCAACAGTGGGTCGAACAGCTCCCGGTCAAGCTAAGAGTCAAAAGTCCCTCCTAGTGTCATAAATGCGGGTATTTATAGGGGTTGAGGGCTGAGGTCCGGGGTCTCGGCATGTCGGCCGCGTAGCCGCCATGCACCCGCGGGCCCTTTGCCAAGGAGCATTGCCACGTGGCGTAGGCCTTCTGCTGCTATTCCGTGGGATTCCGCCCCGACCAAAGAGGTCGGGCCTTTCGAGTGGTTCGGCTCGGTGAGACCGGTCGGTATCAAACGGGCCCCACGTCCCCTATGTGTCCCGACCGACAAACTGTACGTATAGCGGGTAATAGTCTATCAAGAGCCCCCCAGCTCGAGGTCAGACGAGCGCTCCGGAGGAAGGCCTCGGGATCATGTGCCGATCGTTCGGCGGGAAAGCCTAGGGATCACCCGCCGACTGCCTGTCGTACGGTCCTTGGAGATGCCAAGCGAGTGTTATCCTCCTTCGGCCGCTGGCGGCGGGGGGACACGCGTCATTCGCTCAACGACCCTAGGGAACATCGCGCAGCCTCGAGAAGCGGAACATTTTCCCACCCAAAGTGCAAGGCTATAAAAGCCAGCCTCTTCCACACCCTTAGGCACGCTTACCATACATTCTCGCTCAGAGCCTTCCGATCGATCAACATATAGGTCGCTACGCCCTGAGCACTAACCAGCTTTCGACAGTCCATAAGCCCTCACTAATCTTCTTTCTATTTTACTTTTCCTAGCCGGTATGCCTGAAGGCATTCCCGCTCAGGGTCGTGCCCGAGTGATTCACTGAAAAAATCCCTTTTACCTTCTTTGAAGGACCCATGTCGAGCCCGGATAGCGACAATCCTTCGATCGCCGGCTACGATGACAAAGTCGAAGTCGTGACTGACCACACTAGTCCTGAGGGTTCTCCGGGGCTCGGGATCAGCCCTGGGCCCGAACGGGTCGAAGATCACCAGGATCGCCGATCGAACAGTTCTAGCGGCGCGGGGTCCAGGAGCGGCGAGAGTACCTCCGGCCGTGAACGGGAAGAAGTTGTTCGACACGGCCGCGGCAAATCGCCTCGAACCCTCGTCGCAGCTCTACGCCCTGACCTTTCCCCTCAGGCGCAAGAGCGCCTTACCGAGGCCATGACGGACGGGGGAGCCGCTTGTCCTGCGGAAGGTCCCAAGATGATCTTCCTAAACAGCGAGGTAGTCGAGCAGCAGGAGTGCTTGCTTTCTCGGAGGGAGATGGGCGAGGTCGGGACCCTCTTGGCTGGTCGAGCCAAATTTAACACCGATCGGGGGCTCGGGAATGTCGTAGAGCGGAACACCGGCCTTTGGCTCGGGTTGCACCTAGACTCCCTAAAGGCTCCCCTTCGCATTCCCTTCACGCCCTTTCTCCTATCGTTCCTGGATCACTACAAGGTGCTGCCCGGCGAGATATGCCCTGTAATTTTGCATTTCCTCAATTTAAGGATATTAATGGAATTAAATGACTGATTGATTAGACTGACAGAATCAACGATGATATCAGTTAGTTAGATAGATAGCTGATTTGATTGCAGAAAGAGAACTAAGGCAGACAGCAAAAGAAACAACACACAAGATGTTTACTCAGTTCGATACAGTGTGTATCTACATCTGGGGGACGATCACAAAGCGTCCAATACACTAACTCATAATCCAATGTACAAAGGTAGAGAAACAATAATCTCACCCAAGTGCCCCACACAAGGTACGTACCCAGTTTACACAGATTTAGTGGATTGTTGAAGTTGGAGAGCCGTGCATACAGAAGTCCAATGAAATCCCTTCACTTGGAGAGCTAACTCTGATGCAGTCCACTTCAGCGACGCAGTCCAAAGTTGTTCCCACAACTGTGTGATTAGCATCCTTTTCGTTTAAGCAATGATATCTCTTCTCAAGTTCTTCATCATAATCAACAAGAACAAATTGTCTTGAGAAGAGGCATGATAATCAAAGATGTGGTCTCTTAGTATATGACGGAGTGTTTCTTTCTTCTCAAAAGTGTAACCCTAATTCATGACCGAATAAGGGTACTTATACTTCCATAGCAAGAACACTTTCCATAGGCATCTCTGATTGTAGATGGTAGGACTATATGAGAAGAATGTAATCTTAAAGATTCGGTCCATACCTTTCCAAGACAGATCCGCTGATATTCTTTCCAAAGCTGACTTCTTAAACCGCGTTCAGTAAAAGGAAACATCTTCCTAAAACAGATATTCAGTGTCAGTACGTCTAGTGCTGTATCTGATCAATCAGTCTTCTGTTACACAAACCGACACCAAGCTAACCCTATCTTAGATTTCCATAGTAATATTGCCAATTATATGTTGGGGGGTTTTTTGAGCATTTAAAACACTAACAAACTCCCCCTTTGGCTATTATTTGGCAA